CACCTGTACACCCCCAATGAACCAGATCAATTGTTACATTTTAGCTGTTACCTCGCAGTCATTTTGTCATTTTATATGACACAAAAATAATATGTATTAGACATGTGCAGAACGAAAAAAAAAAGTGTCTTGTATTGATTAATTATTTAAATAATTTTGATTAGTTAAATTTGTTAAATTTACTTAATTCGTTTTCGGAATTTATTTAGTTTAGGTTAATTTTCAAATTCGATTAACATTTTCCAAATTCGACTGAAATAAACTTAATTTGACCGAATCGAAAAGTATCAGTTCAAATTTATTCTATTCGAAATTCAAATTGGTTAATTAAAATAGTTATATTTTCATTATTTTATTTTATTATTTTTTTCTATTAGTTTATATTCTATTCTATTATCTTCTATTCTTTTCAAATTCGAATTTATTCTATTCGAATTTCGGAAGACGGTTATATTCTTTCTATTTTATTCAATTCTATTCTATTGTTTTTTTCTCTTCTATTCTTTTATTTTCTATTCTATTTTATTCTGTTTTACTCTATTCTCTTATGTTCTATTCTATTTTGTTTTTTATTCTATTCTATTCTTTTCAAAATTCGGAAAGGCAGCTATATTCTATTCTATTCTTTTAATTTCTATTTTATTCTTTTATTTTCTATTCTATTCTGTTTTACTCTATTCTTTTATATTCAATTCTGCTCTGTTTTATTTTATTTTAGAAATTCGAATTTCAGAAGGCAGCTATAGTCTATTTGATTCTATTCTATGCTATTATATTCTTTTATATTCTATTATTTTCTATTCTATTCCTTTATTTTTTTTTCTATTCTACTTTATTTTTGTATTTTCTATTCTATTTTACTGTATTCTATTCTTTTATATTCTATTATATTCCTTTATTTTTTATTCTATTTAATCTATTCTTGGTTTCAAATTCAATTTCGTTTTGGAATTCGATTTCAATTTCATTTTTGAATTTGAATTCTATTCAAATTTCGGACAACATTTTTTTCATTATTTCAGATTCATTTAAATTCGTTACTATTGAAAATTGGAAATTTGGATACATCTGAATAATGAGAAATTTGTCCAAATTATGTTTTGGACCGAAATGAACCGCACAAGTCTAATATGTATATTGTAAGGCTTTCTATTGACGGTATTGGGTAAGGGGAAAAGGGGCTTGATTAAAATTATGGAAGGGTCATTAAAGGGTTAAAGAACAATTATTATTATTTTAAGTTTATATAATGCTATCTTTATAAAGACAGCTTGAATAGAGTGACTCAATACCTCTTTTGGAGCTGTGTGATGGCATGGGCATGCATGGCTGCCAGTGGCATTGGGTCATTAGTGTTTATTGATGATGTGACAGAAGACAGAAGCAGCTGGATGAATTCTGCAGTGTTTACAGATATACTGTCACCCCAGATTCAGCCAAATGCAGCAAAGTTGATTGGACGACGCTTCACAGTACAGGTGGACAATGATCCAAAACACACTGCAAAAGCAACCCAGGAGCTTTTGAAGGAAAAAAAGTGGAATATTCTCCAATGGCCGAGTCAATCACCTAATCTTAACCCAACTGAGCATGCATTTCACTGGCTGAAGGCAAAACTAAAGGCAGAAAGACCCACAAATAAAGAACAACGAAAGACAGCTGCAGTTAGAGCCTGGCAAAGCATCAGAAAGGAGGAAACCCAGTCTTTGGTAATATCCATGGGTTCCAGACTTCAGGCAGTCATTGCCAGTAAAGGACTCTCAACAAAATATTAAAAATGAACATTTTATTTATGATTATATTCAATTGTCCAGTTACTTTTGGTCCCTTGAAAAAGGGAGGATGGCTACTCTTAAGAGCCGTAATTCCTAAACCTTTCCTCCAATTTGGATGTACATACCCTCAAATTAAACCTGAGAGTGTGCACTTTCAGCCCATATCCATTATATAAACTATAGCTTGAATATGTTTTGGTAAATACCTGAAAAAACTAAAATTGTGCCTGTGTCCAAATATATAAGGACCTGAATGTATATGTACTATACAGTGGGGATTGAAAGTTTGGGCACCCCAGCTAAAAATTTGTATTAATGTGCATAAAGAAGCCAAGGAAAGATGGAAAAATCTCCAAAAGGCATCAAATTACAGATTAGACATTCTTATAATATGTCAACAAAAGTTAGATTTTATTTCCATCATTTACACTTTCAAAATAACAGAAAACAAAAAAATGGCATCTGCAAAAGTTTGGGCACCCTGCAGAATTTATAGCATGCACTGCCCCCTTTGCAAAGCTGAGACATGCCAGTGTCATGGATTGTTCTCAATCATCATCTGGGCAGACCAGGTGTTGTCAATCTCAAAGGTTTTAAATGCCCAGACTCATCTGACCTTGCCCCAACAATCAGCACCATGGGTTCTTCTAAGCAGTTGTCTAGAAAACTGAAACTGAAAATAGTTGACGCTCACAAAGCTGGAGAAGGCTATAAGAAGATAGCAAAGCGTTTTCAGATGTCAATATCCTCTGTTCGGAATGTAATTAAGAAATGGCAGTCATCAGGAACAGTGGAACTTAAAGCAAGATCTGGAAGACAAAGAAAAATATCAGACAGAACAGCTCGCAGGATTGTGAGAAAAACAATTCAAAACCCACGTTTGACTGCACGATCCCTCCAGAAAGATCTGGCAGACACTGGAGTTGTGGTACACTATTCCACTATAAAGAGATACTTGTACAAATATGGTCTTCATGGAAGAGTCATCAGAAGAAAACCTCTTCTACGTCCTCACCACAAAAAAAATCATCATTTGAACTTTGCAAATGAACATATAGACAAGGCTGACGCATTTTGGAAACAAGTCCTGTGGTCCGATGAGGTTAAAATTGAACTGTTTGGCCGGAATGAGCAAAGGTAAGTTTGGAGAAGAAGGGGCACAGAATTTAATGAAAAGAACCTCTGTCCAACTGTTAAGCATGGGATTGGATCAATCATGCTTTGGGGTTGTGTTGCAGCCAGTGGCACAGGGAACATCTCACGAGTAGAAGGAAAAATGGATTCAATAACATTTCAGCAAATTTTGGATGGTAACTTGATGCCATCTGTGAAAAAGCTGAAGTTAAAGAGAGGATGGCTTCTACAAATGGATAATGATCCTAAACACACCTCGAAATCCACGGGGGGATTACATCAAGAGGCGTAAACTGAAGGTTTTGCCATGGCCTTCACAATCTCCTGACCTCAACATAATTGAAAATCTATGGATAGACCTTAAAAAGAACAGTGCGTGACAGACAGCCCAGAAATCTCAAAGAACTGGAAGACTTTTGTAAGGAAGAATGGGCAAAGATACCTCAAACAAGAATTGAAAGACTCTTGACTGGCTACAAAAAGCGTTTACAAGCTGTGATACTTGCCAAAGGGGGCAGTACAAGATATTAACTCTGCAGGGTGCCCAAACTTTTGCAGACGCCATTTTTTTGTTTTCTGTTATTTTGAAAGTGTAAATGATGGAAATAAAATCTAACTTTTGTTGACATATTATAAGAATGTCTAATCTGTAATTTGATGCCTTTTGGAGATTTTTCCATCTTTCCTTGGCTTCTTTATGCACATTAATACAAATTTTTAGCTGGGGTGCCCAAACTTTCGAACCCCACTGTATATATATATATATATATATATACCCAAAATAGGTACAGAGGACTCTATACAAGATGTCTTTGGAAATATGGACTGAGCTTAATAAAAATGTTGACTATAAAATGCTGTTGCTTTGATTTATCTCTGCTGCAAGCCCCTTGAGTGCCTTTATACCTGTTTTCAAGATTTATTTGTGGGTGAGCACCTGGACCTTCACCTTATACATAGGGTGCCGTGGCATCCCTTGGGATATAAAGCAGGCAGTAGGTGTACTCAATGGGACTTGCAACAGGAGGATTTTTTCAACAAAATTTAATCAACGTGAACATTTCGGCAGGGCGCAGCCCACTTTCTCAAGTCTTCCAGTTGAGTACATCTACTGCCTGCTTCATATTTTACATACATTTTTCCTGCATTGCACCAAGGCCAAAATCCCTACAGGTGTGTGTAGTGGTTCAGATCTACACTGTATATATCAGATAGATTTCTCTTCACTTCCTGTTCCAGAGCAACAGGAGAAGGTAAGAGGAGATGCAAAGCGATACCTCTTTGGGGAGGTGCAGTGTGGTGCGGCGGCAGTAAATTCACAGTGCCCAGTTGTAGAAACAGAACTTTGATTAAATTCAACTTTACAGAAATCTTGGCAGGAGGACACCAGACCAGGAACACTCACAAGTTGTAGTGATAATTTAGAACAGAGGTCTTGAAGGTGCTGACAGTGTCTGTCCTAGAGGGTGGAATGCGGCCTGGCCAGTTGGCACTGAAATGGGAAGTTTCCAGGAAGGATGGCATGTCCCTATCCTGTCTCTACTCATCTGGAATTTTTTCCTACTGCTATTTACTTTCCCTAACAGACAGGTGAACTGTCCCTACGCTACCCACTGGTAATATGTGTGCCAAATCCTGGAACCAGGGTTTTAAATAGACTCTTCCTGACCCATGATGGCCACCAGAGTCACATGGGGTAGCAGCATCCAACTGGATAGTTCCACCAGTGACCCAGGAAGCCATAGAGAAACATTATTCCTCTTGATTTCCTCTCCCTATGCTATGCCGCTGCAGTTGAGCACCACCTGCAGTAGGGAAAGCAGACTGCACCTGCCTACACCTCTCTCAAACAGGTATCCCCATGTGAAGATCACAACAACATACACTGTGACAATAGAGTTATAACACGTTTAGGAATAAAGTGCGCAACTGCTGTTGACAGGCTTAGTTCAAGCAGAAGCCAATATCTCCACAGATTATACCCGAGAGAGAAAGTTCCCCAAGAGGGAAAAGGTTTAAAAGAGTTAAAAGGTTTTTGTGTATTTCTCTGTTCCCCCCAGCTTTAACCATGTTCTGCTCTGTTTACTCTAGTGCATTCCCTGTGGTCCAAGAAACAAAGGTCACTGCTTCGGGCCCAGTATCTGCTGTGGTGAGGAGCTGGGCTGTTACTTTGGTACTTCAGAGACACTTAGATGCCAGGAGGAAAATTATCTGCCCTCGCCCTGTGAGTCCGGGAGGAAACCATGCGGGAATAATGGTGGCAACTGTGCGGCCTCTGGCATCTGCTGTAACCACGGTGAGATCCTGCAGAAAATGTGTAGACAGACTAGTCAGAACCATTTCAGTAATTGGTTGAAAATGGGAAGGAGCCCAAGGCTTACCATAAAAGAGGGCTCACTAGCAGGGCTGCTAGCAATGCACTTGGATAGTTAATGTTCTAAGACAATGTTCTAAACCCATTCCTAAAAATACTTGCAACCAGTCATGTTGCTAGGGCTTATTCACTCTATTGTGGGACTTTAATGTGTGTTATGCCATGCATTAATGTGCATTCCCTTTGGATGTAAAAAAGGTCCATGTAATATTTTTGGCAGCTGTCACTGGTGGTCTTCATTTGAAAATTTTAGAAGCCTGGCTGTCATCTCAATATGTTGAGAAAAGTTGAACTTGAAGCGCCACACCATTGTTAAGAGGTCCAGATACAACTTTACTCCATTAAAGGTCAAGGGTATAATTTGAGTAGCCAACACGTTTCGGGAGCCCAAGTGCCCCCTTCATCAGGGCTTTACTGGCCAAAAAAAGTGAACAGATCAGGAGTGAATTGGACCTACAATGGTATTTATTCCAGTGTGAATTAAAAGCAAAGGCCTAATCAGCAGCTTGTTTGGCAGCCAATTTCAATATGTTGAGCCACTGACCAAGAACAGAATTTTGACTTAAGCTGCTACATCCATTTCTTGTTCAGTGATTTAGAAGGTTATGTAGCTAGAAGGTCAGCATGACAGCCAGGCCACTGGTCAGTGAGAGGTTTGGCCCTCTTGTGCGATAGCCAGAACTGTTAAGAGGTCAAGCATTTGTCACAGGTGGCTTTCTTACCTTGGTAGTTGTGGATATTTTTCATCTCTGATCAATGAAGTCACTGTCAGTTGACTTTAGCCACAGAGATGCCTTCCATTGCTTGAGGAACCACATATTCAATTAACCACTTGCCAACAACAACAGTAGTAGCTTCTGCGCTCAGGGCCCTCCCCGGCCAACGTCCGCTGTGATTGAACACAACAGAATTTTGTCAGCAGGTTTCAGCCGATGATTCATGGCTGAGACCTACTAATCTGCTGTGTCCAATCACAGCCCAGAGTCCTGTGTTGACAAAAAACCCAGGGCTCTGTACAGAGGGAATGATCTGTTTGTTTCTACTCCCTACAAATCAGGGAGAAAGAACAAGCAGATATTTAGCAAAAAGCTGCAAAAATTGTAAATATTAACATTGTTAGGCACACAGTTGAGTGCCCAAGTTGTTAATCCCCTTCCCAGCCACTGTCATTAGTACAGTGACAGTGTATAGTATTATCCCTGATCACTATATAGTTAGTTTGTGTACCTCCCAGCCAGTGTCAGTTAGTGTCAGATTGTCACCCACACTATCACTCTCACACTATAAGTTGCTGATCACCGCCATTATTAGAATTAAAAAATTAAATAAAAATTCCAGTATATATACCATAGTTTGTAGACTAAATAACTTTCACACATACCAATTAATATACACTATTTTTTACCAAAGATATGTAGCAGAATACATTTCGGCCTAAATGAAGAAATTTGATTTTTTTTTTAAACATATTTTATAGCAGAAACATTTTCAGTCTTTTTGTTTATATAAAAAAAAAAATAGAAAACCCATTGGTATCAAATACCACCAAAAAAAAAAAAATCTCTATTTGTGTGAAAAAAAGTATATACATTTCATTTGGGTACAGCACTGCATGACCGCACAATTGCCAGTTAAAGTAACGCAGTGCTAAATAGCAAAACATGACCTGGTCATGAAGGGGGTAAAACCTTCCAGAGCTCAAGTGGTTAACTAGAGTGTAACCTCTAACATTTACAAAATACGTACTGAGTTCTGGAAGGCTCTGAGTGAGGCTGGGTGTCATTGTGAGGAAATTAGGGTTCTGGAGGGGATTAGGGGACTCTGCAGCCGACTTAGTGGCCGGTTCTTAGACACGTGCCGTTTGTTTTTCAATCCAAATCAAAATTCGGACGAAATTTTCATTATTCGCAGATTCGGATGCATACGAATTTCCAAATTACAATAATACCAAATGTAAACGAATCAGATATAACTAAATTAAATTTCGTCCAAAATAACAAATTATCTGAGTTTGAATCAAATTTGAAACAAATTTGAAAATGAAATCGAATTCGAAAACAAATTCAAAATGTAAACATATTGCTGACTATTGCTGATTTCCTTTGAAGACTGTGTATTAGAATATAACTGTCTTGCGAAATTAGAATTTTAAAAAAGAATAGAATAGAATAAAACAGAATAGAATAAAAAAGAATAGAATAGAAAAAAAATAATAGAATAAAAATAAAGTACAGTGGGTCAATTCTTCAAAGATTCTAGCCTCTTATCTACAGAAGACATTGCAAAGACGTGGCCATCCATTACACTAACACCATGGATGTATAGACAAATACACCATTTCTTACGTAACTCCCCACATCTAAAAGACTATTCAAGACCGCTTACTGCATTTGAGAAGCTCTGCTTTACGGACATCCCCCAGCGGCATGTTATATCTAAGCTCTATTCCTATCTTGAAAGTACTAACACATCTCATTCGCGGAAGACCTGTTCAGCCTGGCAACGTGACCTACAACTTCAAATCTCACCAGAGGACTGGGACCACATTTACGACCATATGCATAAAGGCTCCATTTGTGTCTCTACCCAAGAAGGCAATTATAAATTATTTTCCAGATGGTACAGAGTTCCGTCTTGGGTTAGTAAATTTGATCCCTAACGCCTCAGATCTATGCTGGAGATGTTCCCGGGCAACAGGTACTCTTCTACATATCTGGTGGGACTGCCCGCGGCTGCAACCCTTCTGGAGAAAAGTTTTGGACATAATCACTCAAGTAACTACATACACCCTAGACTTTACCCCAGCACAATGTCTACTTCATCATTCCTCACTTTCTGTGCGGACTTATCGTAGGTCGCTTGCTTTACACATGATAAATGCGGCAAGACAGTGTATTCCGGTCCATTGGCGATCGGAATACGTTCCCACCGTGCGAGAGTGGATTCTTAGGATCATCAGGATCGCAGAGATGGAGGAGCTGATTTCAGTGGCAAAAGAACACCCCGAGAGATTCAGGAAGACTTGGGCGTGTTGGAATCATTTCCAAACTACCGATACTTATCATTGTCTAATGAAGGAATGAGCGAGAGGAGATTTGGTGACACGGAAACCCCTAGAACGTTCACTTCAGAAATAGTTCCATTACGGGACTTTAACGAAATTGTATTTCTAAGTAATGATTGAATCTGTCTCAGCCTGGAAGCTGCTAACTGATATGACTGGTTTGGTTATGCCTATTTAGTTATATACCTCCTCCTTCCCCCATTCACCTCCCCCCCCCCCCCCCTTCCCCCCCCCCCCCCCCTTTTTTTTTTTTTTTTTTTTTTTTTTTTTTTTCTTTCTCTCTCTCTCTCTCTCTCTCTCTCTCTCTCTCCCTCTACCTCTCTCTCTCTCTCTCTCTTCATCTGTATTCGTCCCCTACGTCCCTCCTCGCCCCACTATGATATTTTTTCTCATACTCTTCCTCCATTCCCTTGCTCATTTCATTCCCATCTCTTCTTTCTCTCTTTTTCACCTCTTTACCATATTCTAACTAACTATATTTTTCATAAGGTACAGAGTACTTACAGACACACAGGTGTAACAATACTCCTCCAATCTAATCTATAATGTTCAAGTACGGAATCCTAAGACATATATGCCTTGAGTTGACACGACTATTGCTATATACCTCACTGTCCTGTTTCTTTAGATCTCCCTACACAAGGACTATTGTACCCCGTATTTCTATAAATTACTTACTGCTAACATCATTGCTATGGGTATATACGGTGCCTTCCCCTTAGGACTGTATTTCAGGTTGAGCTACGATTTACTTCTATGTCCTGAACCCGTCTGCGTTACGGGAGAACATGCTTAAAGACTTGCGCGGACTGCGATCCGTATTTGTTTATGACTTGTTATGCCTTTCATATCTCAATAAAATTTCTTGGAAAAAAAAAAAAAAAAAAGGGTAAAAAAAAAAAAAAAAAAAAAAAATAAAGGAATAGAATAGAAAAGAATAGAAGAATAGAATAGACCAGAATAAGATAGAAAGAATATAGCCGTCTTCTAACTATTCAATTTTCGAAAAGAATAGAATAGAAAATAAAAGAATATAATACAATACAAAAAAATATAGAAGATTTACCCCCCTTCCTGACTAGGCCATATTTGTAATATGGTGCTATTTTACTTTAACTGTCAATTGCGCAGTCATGCAATGCTGTGCCCAAATGAAATGTATTTCCTTTTTTTCCCACAAGTTTTTACTTTCTGCGTTATAAACAAAAAAGAACGCAATTTTGAAAAAAAAAAATATATATATTTTTTATTTTCTACTATAAAACATATCCAATAAAAAATGTTAAAAATCAAATTTCTTCATAAATTTAGGACAAAATGTATTCTGCTACATGTCTTTCCTAAAAGAACTGGTAGTGGGCCAAGGCTGATAGTTGAAAACTGCAGCTGGCGACTAAACTTACGCTTTGTTCCTCCTGCAGAGAGCTGTACAGTGGATCCGGCCTGTGAACAGGACTCTGTATTTTCCTAGTTCTTGTACATACAAACCACGTGTCTCATCCAGTGCAAACCAACCAAGAACATCTCAGCAAGACGGCACCAACACATCGAGCGGGATACAAACAGCCAGAGTATAGGTGTACTGTATGATGAATAAAGTATCTAAAAACAGTATAAACAAGTCTGCCCTCTATTTGAAAATTATTTAATCAGAGGTTTTTTGTTTTTTAACAGAGGATTTTTCATATCTAATTTATCTAATCTATTTGGTGATTAGATAGGTGATTCTGCCACAACTCATTCTGAACCTTTCTCTGTTTTTATATGCTTCCCCAGCAAAGTGGTGGCATAGATAATAAGGGGTCTATTTATAAAAAAAAGATCGCTCAGCATTTGTACAACTGTATTGTGTCAGTATGTGTATTTCCTATGATTCTCAGCTCCATCTAGTGGCCATAAGGCGGTATTATCACTGAAATACCACAATCAGGAAAATACTGCATTATGACGACAAAATGGAGCTGATGATCACAGGAAATATCCCTATTAGACAAA